CACAGTGACCAAGGTGAAACTGGAATGGTTCTATGGACTGAGCTAAATAGTTCTGGAGGGAAGGAGAAGTATGTCTGGTTGTTGGGGGAGGTGAATGTGTGTGTGTGAGTGTGTGTGTGTGTGTATGTGCGCGTGTGCACATGTGTGTGTTTATAGGGTGGTGATAACGAAAAAGAGGAAAGAATAAAAGAAGAATCTGGGTAAATAAAAACAGCTATAGCCTAAAAGTTCTTAAAAATTAGCTTTGAATTGTACACTTAGATCCTGAAGATTCTCCAACAGTGAGGTCAGATTCTAGACCATTTTAAAAAATAGCCCCTTGTGTGTTTCGTTGTTATTTATGACTTTCAGACTCTTCTATTCATGAAGATTTTTTTTTCCTGGTGTCACTGGTTCTACCACTGGAACAATCCTACCATTCTCTCATATCTTATGTAGTATCTCTTTGGTGATTATTTATATGTATATCCTGTCTTCTGCTACAAAGAAATATCTGTGGCAGTAAGTTGAGTCACTTTTTATATTGAATGCACTCTACTTGTCCATGATTATCAACATAAGTCTAGTTTTAGTTCTTTGAAAATATAATAGTTCTTGCTTGAATATTTATGAGAATGTATTTTGTCATGTACATGTAATTTCAGGTGATCTTAAAGATTATAACAGAGTAAATTTTCCTTAGCAAGATGCAATATATTAGAAAATGTCTTTTTTCCCTTCTCATTTTTTCTCCTTAAAATGACTGTTTTTCATGCTCATGATGGAAACTCAAAGCACTGGAACTCAGGCACTGCAGAAAAAGCTCAAGACCTTCCAGGCATAACAAATAATAGCACCACAGAGAAGAACATAGGTTCTTTCTGCATCGGGGAACTGAGTGGCATCATATCTAGAGGCACTGATGCAATAATTGTACAGAATTTCCAATACATTGCTGGCATACCAGGAGCATGTAAAAATAGGAACATTTGTTTCCTTGAATTATGAATTCTAGGATGCATGAATATTTTTCATAAATATCTATCAAATTCTTTATTAGTAGCTAAAAAGTTACTACAACAAGAATAATGTCTTTTCTAGTTCATTCTCTTAAAATTCAACAAACCACAAAACTCAAAATATAAAAAGGGGCATTTATAGTAATTAAATCATCTTGCTGCTATAAATTAGCATTATAAATATAAATGCACCATGAATGCTAGCCATTAAAATCTAGGCCTTGAATTGGCTAAAAATAATAGGAAAATACTTTTGCGTTGAGTTGCATTTAAAAGTCAATGTCTTCATGTATGTAAGGCACAGCAAAAAACTACAAACAGACAAGTAAATGTATGTTCATGAAGACTAAAACCTAACTGATACCATATTTGATTAAAGGATTTGTTAGATACTCTCTACAACTTCTTGTACACAGTAGGTGCTTATTAAGTATGTGTTCAAAGGTGGATCATTCTGAACTAACAAACTGTGGAGGTACTAAAATATCTTCCTCTATTTTATGTCTCATATATTTAAAATAAGAACTTGAAACAGGTTAGATTCCCTCTAAAAGATATCCATAAATTATTTATAATTGAAGACAGAACATTAAAAGAAATAACAGGGCACAAATATCCATAATTTGGTCATTTGCAATGGAAACAGAGCATCTAGTCTGCCTGATTAAAATTAAAAGTGCTGTTATGAAGTTAGCACATGAATAAAGAAAAAGCCCAGTGAAAGAGTATTTTGATATGCTATATATAGATACTCACCAGTGTTGATGTCAACAAGCTAAGATCTGCCTAGGTAGGAATCCTGTTAGTTTAAACATTGTACATTGGAAGTACCTCTCAGTGGACCACTGTCAGCTGTGGGAAGCTATGTTGGTTAGGAATAATCGTGCCAGTTATGTCCTGAAAACATCAGTGACCCATATAGACAATCCATAGATTTTTTTCCAAGCCAGAGGAATTTCATTGTATAAGTGAATTGACCATGGCTTGTAGATGATCAGCAGACCAACTCCTAACACCCAGCTTGACACCCTGTCCTCCACTGCTCAAGATAATGAAATAGAAACATGTTTACTGAAACCACAGACCCCACCACACTGGAGTGGGCGAGGATAGCAGCTATCACTTCAGCAGACTGGTAAAGTAAGAGGTTGAATAAGAAGAATGAAGCTCAGCTGACATGAAAGCAGAGGGCTCATTTGGGCAAACCAACAGCTTAAAAACTGTAGCAAAGGATGGCCAGGTGTATAAACAACTGCTCATTTGTCAATAAAGAAGTGTGAGAACTGCTGGGGGAAGCATGTATACCAAGTAAACATACTGATGGTGTAATTGTCATATTCTCCATGAATCATCCCTTTACTATGTATAGATCTAAACACTAGCATCACCAAAGGCTGTGGAGAGATCTGGGGTGAGGAAAGAGATGCAATTACTTGTCATACAGACTGGGAATGGTGTCCCTGGAAGGTGGACCTTTAAAGGCAGATTCTGTGAAAAGACTTTACCGTTCTGTGATAGTCAGCTATTTCCAATCATTCCTTTACAGAATGTGACAAAACTGATATAGTACTGAAGAACAGCCAGATCTAGGTAAAACTGTTCACCTGGTGTGAGCTGTGTAACCCACTTTTAAAATCTGAGCAACGTTCTTCTAAAAAGTCATTTGAAAAAAAATCAGATGGATTCTCCTCTTTCTGCAGTAACAGAATTCTACATGAAAGTAGAGATGGGTTTTAGTAACCTACAACTATTCTTTGCTTTCTTCAGATTCTCAGTGGGAAAGGAGGGCAGACAGCAAGGTTAAGCTCGATTCTGAAGGCTTGGAGCTCTGTTGCTATTCAGTCCCTTCTATTCCCTTTAGTCTCTTTTTTCTGTTTTTTTTTAAATTTGTTTGTTTTTAATTAACAGCACCAGCAGTAGCAACAATAGCCAACATTTATGAATGTCTACTCTGTGCTTGGTGCTGTATTAAGTGCTTGCATCTGCATTGGACCTATTACTACCTTGTGCAAGTAACTCCTCTGTGTTTCAGCTTCTAAATTTGTGTAGATAATAATAGCATCTACTTGTGATAATCAAATATGTAAATATATGGAAAGTGTTTAGAATAATGCTTAGTACAAAGTGCTTAGTAGTTACTGTTTATTATCTTATTTAATCTTTGAAGCAAGTCTTTAAAAGTAGAAGTTGCTACTACTTATTGCCCAATTTACAGATAAGCAAATTGAAACTCAAAAAGTTTGCCTAAATGTTCAAGACCATAGAGCTACTATACAGAATGATGACTCAAAGCTTCAAGTCTTGTGCTAATTACCATGCCATGTTAGTTCTCCCACTCTGGACCCTAAGCTCCAGTCACATCACAAGAACTTCTCTGATTAGTGGATCCCAATGTTGAACACACCAGCAGCCTTTTGCTCATTTTGATATTCCCTCTATCTTAAATGGCTTTCCTAATTTTGTCAAGCAGATGAAATTAAAATTATCTTCCAAGGCTTAGTTCAGTCGGCACCTTTTCTATCTCACCTTCCTTTTCCCACCTTCACAGAGTTAATTGCTTGTCTGTGTTCCTTCAACACTTATCTCACACATCTCCCTTACAGCACTTATCACATTGTCTCATAATGTGTTTATGTCTCTACTGCTAGATGGTGGTGCAGTTTATTACAGTAAAAAGTAAAGTGTATTTAATATGCCAGATTCTCTGCTAAGGGCTTCATGAGGATGCACTCACTGAATCTTCTTATTAGCCCTAGAACACAAATACTATGGTAATCTCCTTTTGATTGATGAGGCATAGAACGTTAAGTAATTTTCCCAAGAACCTATATGCAATAGACACACAATACATAATTGTTGAATTAAACTACACCAAGTAAAAAAAATTTCTCTTCTCACTGAGGAAAATAAACTTTCAATTCAACAATTTCCTTTTTGATGGAGGAGAAAAGAACAAATTCGTCTTTCATCTAGTGAGATTTTTCCTCACTTAAACTATGAAAAGACGCTACTAATTAACTTTAGCTAGTTCAAATCAATTATCAATTCAGCTTTAAAATTTTTCAGCACTGTAATAATTTTCCCCATAGTATAATAAATGACCTGTTTCCTCCTCCCGTGATCTTTGATACCCATATAAGTAAAATGTTACAATATTTCATTGTCTATTCAAAACCTCAAAAACTGGGACATGCATTACAGTATCAGTTTTAATATGTATGTCAAGAATCTATTATTTTCTAAACCCAGAGAGAAGGAAAAGAAATTGCTTTCTGCTTCCAAGCCCAAACCTGGAAACCTGCCTACTTGAAGGTGATGTTGTCCTGTGGCTCCAGAAGGATCTGGGGCTAGCTGGGTGCAAACAATTCCAAATTCCACACTACCTGTGGCTTCTTGGAGGCCTTTTCCCACAACCACTCAGAGGGAAACACATTCTCCTGGCTTTCCTCTGGGGGCCTTTCAGGCTCTAGTCCTTGTATTAACTGCCTGCTATGGTGAGAGTAAAACTGGCTTTAAAAGCTTTTTAACCCAAAGGGTTTGAGCAGCTAATGGACATCATCCTTTTGGCAAAAGGAGGTGATGTAAAAGCTCCTTCCCCATTTTAAAAACCAGGTCTTACTTATATAATGTTTTTGTAGAGTTAAAGGCTTTTGGCTTTATTATTTTTTTTAAGAATAGAAGCATAGAGCAAAAATTATCGACCCTCTCCCCCAAATCTTCCCTATCTTTCTCCAATTTTCATTATGCCTTTAACTTATTTACTATTTTGTTGGTGGCAAAATCATCATCATGATCATGATCATCATCATCCAGCAATGTATCAATAATGTCTTCATTTTAACAACTATACAAACTATTTATGAAGTTGTGCCTCAACAGGGAGCAATACTATCATTTTAATATGTTGTAAGTAAAGTTTCCTTCAGAAACTTTATTTTCCTTTCTGAACAAGAAAGTCACAGAACATTTGCATGCCTGCAGTTGAAAATAACAACAAAAAACTTCAGCAAAAAAACAATTCTCTTATTAGATGCTGAAATTTCCAGTCAATATATTTAAAAGAGAACATTAACAAACAAAAATAATGTATTTTGCATAGAAAAATGAATGAATTCACAAGATTTGGGAATCATAAATAATCCACAAGTCTGGCAACCATCTATCTCGATTAATAATGTCTTTAGCCAATCTTTGAAACATGACCATCTATCATGTTGGCTTCTTTCTTTTCTTCTTAATATGAATTAAGATAAGCGGAGGTATTTTTATGTTAAAACATATAACCTATGATACACATGGAATAAAATGAGAATGAAACCATTTAAATTTATCTGAGGTGAATACACAGAAGAGTCAACTTGGTTCTGTTCACAACTATACTATGGTAACCCCAGATGGAACACAACTCATTACATGGCTTAGTAGAAAGTTGTATATCTATGTAATTATGAATATGTTTCATTGTGTTTGCAATAGAAGTAAATGTTGGAGTCCAAATCAACTTTTCAACTGATAGTATATTCCAGTTTTTTTTCATATTCCCAATAAAGATGGGGTGTTGACAAATGTATTAATAAAATAATGCACCCCACTTCACATATAATTCCATCTTTGCTTGGGCATTAGGGGAGGTCCCCTAAGAATCCTACGAAGCACATACACAAGTCCTCAGTTTGATTGCACTCTAGGCAGGATTCTCATGCTAACATTAGGGAAATCTGAGCATAACAAAAGACTCACCTCCAAATCTCTGAAAGGAATTGAACTCTCTCTCTTGTGGACATGAATAATTAAGAATCTGTACATAGAATCAACAACATGGAAACTGGTTCCAAAATATAGTTGTAAGTCTGAGTTGAGGGAGTATGATGTGGGAGATCCCAAGAAATGCTGAACAAAATAGAAGAAAAGACACTGGAGGAAAAATGGAAAGCAGTCAATTTATGGTCATTAATACCTGTTCCATTTTAACAATGTTTACTATTTTAATAGTCATAATTCATTGCTTTTATATATCTGTTGTGTCTTTCCCATTAGATTAAGAAATCTCAATGAGAAACTGTTCTGCCATGTTTTCCACTGTGTCCATAACACCAAGGCCAGGCCCAGCACATATTTTCTGAACAAATGAATAAATGAGTAAACAATAGATATGACATTCATAGAAGTAGAGACAAATGGATAAGTGGCCATATCCATGTGTTAACAATAACAAATGAGTTAAAGTCTATGGAAAATGCCAGTGTTGAAATTCAGTCAGCTAATATCTGAAGAAGATAATGCAGTTAATAGATTGTCCTAGCTACAAATAATTTTTAATATAATCCCTATGATTAATTTTGTGTTATTTAAATAGGGCCTGTGTGGGAAACTGGGCAAGTTACTCACCTCCTTCTGTGTTAGTTAATATCTGCATGAGACTCCAGAGTCAAGACTGAATGCCTAATTACAGCTAGGAATCTCACAAATAAATCCATTGTGCACAAAGGGAACCAGATAAGAAAGTATAGACACATTCATGCAAGCACATCACCACTATGATGGAGAACAATTTAAAGACTGTTCAGTTCCAACGTGTAATTACTCCAAGAGGGACACATTATTATTGATAATGAGTCTTTCTCACTGGGAAGTTGGATTCCCTGGTGGGAATGCATTTTTATGGGTTGAAGATCAGTAAAATTTTCAAGTTAAATTAGTTACCAAGTGTTTTTAAATATTAAATATTATAATGGGTGCCAAAATAGGCAATGCAATTTGGTCATAAAGACACTGAGGACAACTTTTGTTTTGTATGATTACAACCATTACTTATTGAGTTACAAATGGCATTCATAACTAGGAATGGGTCTTATCCACTGATTCCTCCTTGGCTTGCAAAAGTCAAGTTAGAAAGAAGTAGGCCGAAATGAAATCACTGCAGTTCGGCTGTATTCACTGCTCACTAGGACTGGTCACTTGCCCAAACTGTTTGAATTTCTTTTTTTAAGTAGCTAAGTTTGTGTTTGCTCTTGATTCCTCAGGCTTCCTACTCCTAATTCCCACCTCAGTTTTCTTATCTATGTAGTGCAGGTGAGTCTTGGTAAACTTGTTCTCTCTTGTTTCAAGATGATTGACTTTTCTACCAATTGCTGATGATATTTGAACCTCTACATGGAATTCTCCATAAGGGTAATCATTGTAATTATGTCTCTCCTGTAAATGTTTTTAAGATGGAAACATGTTATCAGACCATCTTTGGATAACATTTTTCTTTATTGTGTTTTAAATAATGTTTTTAGTACCAAGAAGGAGATTTTATTGCTAGATAAAACTCTCTCTGTTGTGCATTAAAATTTGTTTCAAATTCAATAAACTTTGGCATAAAGTAAAAATAAGGCCAAGAGTGCTCACTAAATCATGGCTTGAGCTGTCCTTATAAAAGCAAAACTCAATAGTCACATACATCATTGAAACAATTCAGTTACTTTTTTCTTATTTTTGTTGGTATTGTGTTTAAAGAGGCATAATAGCAATAAAAATTCTATTTCACTAAATACCTAATCTCACATTTTCAAATAAAAAAATGAATAAAATAAAACAATGAAAAATAAACAAATATAATAACTTTCTCTGGTTTTGTAAATGCTGTTGTAAACCATTCTCCTTACCAATGATATATTAAGAACCCAAGATTTCTACTATGTATCAAATTAAAGTGTGATGATTGTACTAAAATTCTGAACCAATCAATTAAGCAGGTGCACAAGTCTAAAAAACCAAATCATAATAAATTAGCCTTTCTACTTTGTGCTTGACTCCCAGATTGTTTTTTTTTAAACTGATTGTTATATGCCAAAAATGTAAAATTTATTCCAAGAAAATTAACAGGCTACACAGATAAATTTTGGCAAATGCAACTTTATATTGAAGTTCACACATCTGTTTCTTAAAGAATGAGACTCACAGAATCTAATGTATTTCTAAAATACCAGAAATCATATTATAAGCTTTCACAAGTTAAAACTGAAATAATTTAAACGACCAATACACTGAATGTGCAGAAAGTATAAACAGGACTGTGCCTTCCATAGAATAAATGCTTCACAAATTGTGCAGGATGTCATACTAAGGCTGTGGTCTCCCCTTGACAGCTGACTTAAAATATAAACATACATCACTGCCCGATTCTTAGAACACACTAGAATGGGTAGCACACCTCAGAAGAAAATCTCATTATTCCAATGATGTGCACCTTAATTTTCAAACCATGTGAGGAAAAAGGAAAAAAGAGTATTAAATGATCTTCCATGCACTTCCAGATGAATGACCATGACCAGTTACTGATTCAATATCCCTTGCCTATTTGCTCCAATGCTAAATAATATGAAGGATACTAGATAACCCTTTAAGGCAACATGTGTTTATTCTGCATTATTAGAACCGCTCAGTTGTGACTGACTGGTACCATTAATGTTGCCTCCCAGACCAATATCTAGCATTTGTAAAATGTAAATGAATTGGAAAACCTTTATACTAAATCAACAGAAACCACATAATACAGCTCAATGCTAGCAATTTCACTAGTAGGTAAGGAAAGTGGTATTTAGAAATAACAATGTTTTAATACAAAAAAAAAAGATAAACTCTAATCGGAACCAATAAACTGCTTTGGAATCTCCCCAAAACTTACAAGGCGATTTTTAAAGTGTGATATTCCAATAACTCATGGCACGTCTTTAGTGTATTACAGTACTTTAAGTCCCCAAATAGTTTAGTCTTTGCAAAACAAAAATAGTATGAAATGTTTTAAAGTCTTCAGACTTCTAAAATTAGTTTTTATCAACACATTTACCTCATGTCAACTTAATTTATTAAGATGTCCAATGCTAATTGTTTTTTTTGATGTTTTTTTTCATACATAGTGATATACACAGCATTTAGCACTGATACTTAGCACCTGCTACTTTCATTATCTAGTTTTCAACCACAGAAAGAAACTTAGGGCAGTGGTTCAGTCCTTTCTTAATTACAAACCTTCACCAGCAGTCAGCAGGATCACTCTGAGATTTAAAATAGGATTATAGGTGAACTATTGCAAAGACTGCAGAATGTTGCCCAAATCCTTGTAACTGCTGATCCCATTCTTGAATTTCTTCTCAAGATATGGCTACAGGCCACAATTGCTTAGCAGAGAAGGTAAGTGTTTCACAAGGCTAAAGATTTACAGATGCTCCCTCATATAACACAGTAAGGTTCCCTTGGTAACCTGGATTTTCTGCAGTAAAGAAGGGTTGTGCTGAAACAGCGCCTCAGCTCCCTGTTGGAGAAAATGCAGACAAAAGGATTGATTCCTGCTTGGGCAAAACTCATCCAGACAGCGGCTGTGAGAAATCCCCCTGGTACTACAGGCCCTCTTGCAAAAACTCTCCAATAACAGGCCACCAGGTAGGGGCCCCATAAGGTTAGGAAGAGGAAAGTCATTATATAGAACATTCTGCTGATCCTTTTCTCCATTTTGAACTCGTCTAAGACCAACAGCCTTCTTCTGCCTGTGGTGTTTGCATTTTGCCTGATGCCCAGCAAGGTGGGTGGCGTGGGACCCCTTCCAAATCCTGCTAGCCAATTGGCAGCTGCCTGGCCACTGGCTCCAGGACCATGAAAAGTCCAGTTCTGGCTGACTGCTGCTACAAACTGGACTGGCTTCATTTTCCTTCGATCGTGGACAAAAAATATCAGCTTGAGGTAGACAAGCTGTGTGGCTAGGAGGATGAGAGCAAGGAGCAGCATAAATCCTAAGGAATCATTAGCCCTGAAGGAGCGGTGTTGGAAGGTGCACTGATCCTCCTCCCTAATGAATGAATAAGTGCCCACATCTAAAACTGGGGGGAATGCCATGGCCACAGACAGAGTCCACACCATGCAGATCACAGCCAGACACGTCCAAAAGGTCAGCCTCTTTGTATAAAAGCGGTGATGGGCGATAGCTAAGTATCTGGTGACACTGATGCAGAAGAGCATGAAAGCAGTGTGGAAACAGGACAAAACCCCCAGAAAGGCAATCACTTTGCAAGTCAGAGTCCCGTAAGTCCAGGTGGAGCCATTTTTGACAGAGTTGAATACAAATGGAAAACAAATTGCAGATCTGAGGATATCTGAACAGCAAAGATCCAGCAGAAAGTAGTAAGGTGCTCTATGCAAGGTCTTATCTTTCACTAGCAAAATGGAGATCAGAAGGTTGCCCACCACGCTGACTCCTATTATGAAACCCAAGGAAGTCAGTTTCAGAAAGGCTGTTAGAGGCGAGAGATTTTGCAAAATGTTGTCAGCTGCATGGCTATAGTTCGCCATAGATGGATGGAGGATAAAGATACAGCCTCAGTTAAGTCTCATGATCTAGATATAAGAACAAGGAAAAGATAGATCCATACATTTTACTGAAAATGTAATCCACAATGAGAATTGATCCGATCTGCAGTCATGCTTCCTCTTTTCTTCCATTTGATTTGCCATCAGAATATCTGGAAAAAAAAAAAAAGAGCTATCAGTTCTTAAGTTAACAAGTAATGATGTCAGTGCTAACATAAAGCTGTTCATTTATGGGGAAGCAAATAAAGTTTTAATTTCAAATAGTAGTTTTTGCTTCAGTAAGTAGTTTTGCTTGAGATTTCAGGGAATTAGCTTGTTTAGTTTTTCAAGCCAGGTGATTTTAAAAATGTCCATATTCTAGAGAACATACATTTGACTGAGTGCCTTGAGACTAAAAGGAATAAAATGTTCCACAGTCATAAAATATGCCGGTCTAAGAATTAATCACTAGTATTGCAATGAAATCTCTAAGATTGGTGATGGGAGACAGAAAGGCTACCTACATTTTTCTGAGGTGTGTTAGTACTGTCAGTGTTTTACAGGCAGCTTCCCTGCTCATATGGATCCAAAGAACCCTGCAAAAATGTGTCTTTTAACTCAAGTGCCACTGTTCATGCTGCATGAGTATTTGTTGATTCATTTTAAAACATAATATTACTACTAGACTTCAAAATTAATAGAAGTTGTCCCAAGATTTGATGTGATTTAATCTTTTGTCTTTCCCTTTCTATCCCATCCCCCAACTTTTGGCAAATCTTGTCTCTTTTAAGCCCACATGATTATTAAAAATGGTTAATGTAAATATTGGCCAGGGAAACACACCCAAAGGAATAATGCACTTCCATCTGTAAACCTTGGCTGCCTGTATTCAAATGAATATAACACAAATCTGTATCTCCTAGGCAATTATGCTCTTCTCATTTACACTGAAAAATCTGGTGCAAATTCCAAGCGGCTTCATTTTAAAGCAAAAAGCACATTGTCTCTTAGGTGCCTGGGAGCTACATCAGAGAAATTGGTTTTCTCTGTTATTCCCACGAAGCATGTTTCCTTAGCCACTTTTCACTTGCTGGGGATATGCTGATGGAAGCCTAGGCAAAACTGCGTTCGATGATTTTAATTTCCCCACCGGTACATCCCCGGGTAAATACCGATCGCATCATGCAACATTACGAAACCTGAAATCCGCCACCCCTGGATTTATAATGGGGGAGGGGGAGGGGGAGAGAGAAACATGCATTACATACGCGAAGATGGGGAGAGAGATTGCCTCTGTGCTGCAAGGGAAGGGTTTCGGTGATTCGCAGTCTGATATTCCTGTCTTGCAACGCTTTCCAGAAACGAAGCTCTCAATAAGCCTTACTGAAGATGCATTGTCTGAATGTATTTCCATTATGCAGTTTAATGTCAAAAAAAAAAAAAAAAAAAAACTCGGGGGGGCTCTTTCCCGTGAACCTGCAGTTTCATCAACACTGTGCAAACCCCCTCCCCCCGAACTTAACCAAGAGTATATCCTCCTACCTGTTGGTGTTGGATATCCCGACAGACTATAGCTTCTTCTTTCTATAAATTGCTGATTTTTTTTTTTTTTTTTTTTTTTTTGCCTTAGTGCCTTGACTGAGCATCCAGGCAGGGCTCGGCGGCGCCTGCGCGCTGGAGCCTCCTTGAGCTCCAGCCGCGTCCTCCCCTGTCGCAGCGGCACTGTCTCCCCCAGTAACGCAGGGTTCGCGGCGGCGGCGGCGGCGACGCGGTGGCGAGGGCGGCAGCAGGGGCTGCCTCAGCCTCTGTGGTGCCCCGGGAGCCCGTTTGCGTCTCCAGAGCTAGCTGGGTTTGTTGACTGCCCTGTCCAGTTCAACTGACAGAATTAGGCTTTTGTCACCTTGTGGCTGCTTCTGAACTTTTCCCTCCCCGCATTTTAAGTGGGGGCTTGGAAAGGCTCATTCAGGACCTCAGGCCCATCCTCTTCCCTTAGGGCAGCGCACAAGGAAGCCGCCGTGCCCAGGACGCCCGCCCCTTCCCCAGCTTCCCGGAACCCTCGCCTTCCCGGAACATTTTCTTCCTTTCTCTCTTAGGGTAGTTCAAAGCATTGGAAGCTTCTTTTGGAATTCTTCTTAAATGATTTCCTCTGCTGACCTTTGAATTTGCAGGTTAGCTGGAAGGGGTGGGGGGTTGGGTGGGGGGAGGGAGAAAGAATGAAAAAAGAAAAGAGAATTTAAAAAATTGCACAGTCAAAAAGCTTGTCAATGGGGAAGAAGGGAAAGCAGGTTAGGGCAACCCTGTCTTTGTTAGTCATCATCTATTTCCGAATGCACGCAAATCTGCGTTTTGGAAGGGAAAAGCTAACTTCGGAGGACAATTGCAAAAATAATTTACATTCATTCTACCTTAACAGAGATGACTAAAGAATCATTCGTTGTACGGGGAAAAAAAAAATTAAATGGCTATTCCTTGCATTCCACCCCACCTTGGAACAGCCTTTCTTTCCCCTTTTTTCAAGTTCGTCTGACCAATAGGTTGGTGGTGTCAAAGCAGTTGTGTGTATGAGTTCCCCCCCCCCCACCTTTGTTATTACAGATGAAAAATACCAGGAACATAACGAATACATAAAACTTACACCAGTCCAAACCGTCCGATGATATCACAAACACCACATATAGTCTGATACCTGGGTGCTTAGGGATGCCTCTAGAATCATGCATTTCCTTATTTTACGATTTCCGAAGAGTTTTTTTTGTGAGGGTGGTGTAAGATTTTAAGCAACCACCCTCCACTTCCCACCCCCCAAAAGCAAGCAGACATGCTTTCATTAATCCTCAATGTAAAACGTCTGCTTCTCTTCCTGCATGCTTATTGCTTTATAATAATCTCTTAATGAAACAGAAAAACTAAAAAATCTTCTCTACAGTAATAATTTGATCTCTAGACAGCAGTAAAATACCTCATTGCTGGGTGGTGAGACTGTGACATTCGGGAGAACTCAAGCCAATCAGCGTACAGATAATATAGGTTAATTTACATATTGCATTTCTATTGGACACTCCGAGGTAAAGCTTTCGCTGTTTAAAGCTTAAAAATGACCACTTCACTGTCATGATGTCACAGTTGTTACACAAAGCCCAATGTTACTAATACTAAAACATTGTTTAATTTCCTTGATTTGATTTTGAATATGCCTAGCCCGTTTAAAAAAAATGGATATATATATATATATATATATATATATATATATATATATATATATTTTTTTTAAAGAACATACCTAAGGCACTTAACTTTGGCATTCTTATAATCTAGCAAAATCAATACTAGAGCAGTACTCAAAGTAACCTGAGGACATTTCCATCCAAGTGAAACATTTCGCTTTTTTAAAGACAAATGAATTGAGCAGAAATCAAAACTACATGTCAGTTGACAACTTTTAAGTGAATTTCAAATTCTTTTTTTAAATGGAAAACAATTGAACTTTCTTTTTGTTTGCAAAACATGAATTCGGAACTCAAAACTCTGATAGTTTGCAACTTCTAAGTGAAATGTCCAATTTATTTTTATAGAATACAAAATTCAGTTTGTTGTTTTCCTTTTACTTCTCAATTATTGTCTCAATTTACTTTTCAAAGAACAATTAGTTACTGAATTTTTAAAATAAGAGACTTAAATTTAAGTTTGTGAAGACTTACGATGGACTAGATATTAGGTTGTATGGATTAGGGAAAAGCTATTTAAAAGTAAATTAAGAGGGCAACTGTACTGTCAAGCCTTGAGGAAATAATTTACTCTGCAGAAAGCTATCGGACTAAGATCCAAGAGTTTAACTAGGTTTGTGTTTTAAGAAACAGATCCTGAATCCTTAAAAATAATAGAGAGGGTATATGTGTATGAAATACCACATCTTAGGGTATATTGAGCTTTTTTTTTTTAATCCTTTGCAATTGAGCACAGTTACCTCCAGTAGCTCTTCAGTTTTTTTAGTTGTTAGATGAGAATGTCATTTTCTTTCCTCACAAGGGTGCTCAAGAAATTAATGAGTATTTTCCATTTAGTTCATTACTCTACTAGAGAAAACATTGGAATCTCCTTCTTGTATCAACAGGGATTTTAAAAATATGTTTAATAGATGACAAAAGTTTCATCTCATCTACAAGTTCTCAAATGTAAAGTGTTGCTTCAGATTGTTTACATCATAGTGTTATTTGATCCTAGCTAATTTCATTTTTTGATTCCTTATATCACCAAACCTAGAAAAAATTGATTTTCAGGTTAAGAGTAAAGGAACAAAGCAAACATAATAAATTACCTTATACTCTAATCCTTGTGTCTGAGGATTTAAAGGTTTTCAAGCTCTTGGCATATTACATTTACTATGTTGATCATTGCATTAGGAAGACTGATGCAATTTGCTTAATCTGGTTCTTGTAATAAATATGTATATAATTTTATTTTAAAAAGCAACCACCTTTTCTTGACATTACTCTATTTCAGGTTTTTGCCAAGTGATGCATAGACTTGTGATGAATAAACAAATTGTTTTTGTTCTATGTATTGAAAATGTATGTCAGGAAATAACAATCCTGGATGCAGAGAATAGTCAACTAGGATGAAAATTCTAAGAAAAGATTTTAAGTATTCATTTAAAATTTCATTTTTTTCCTGCTTAAAACTGGTCATTAAAATTTAAAACAATATCTTTAGGGTTCTCAACTTTTGTCAAAATCTAAAGCAATATATGGGAATGAGCCTTATATTATAAGTTTTCTGGAAGCTATGTTGACAAGAAAGGTTCCTATTGGACACTTCTGCATAGAAACAATTTCTGATAGGTTATTCAAAATAATTAATTAACCGAGAATTTGTGACCAGTAACACAAGGAAATTATACATTTGCATTTTGATAATGTTTTTCAGATTACAGTTGCTGCAAAAAATAATCTTTTTCACAGTGACATTCAAGTCACTGAAACTTTTTAGGGCATTGTGCTTGTCTACTTAAGGAGTAAAATGGTGAAAGAATATACTAGGCCTAAAAAACTATCACTAGATTTTAAAATTGTGCCTCAGGATTTGGAATAATTATAATTGTGAACATCCTAGCAATGAGATTTCTTCAGAATTTTAGTGAATTTTTTAAAAGATTAGGAATCTGGCATGTTCCTTTCTAAAACACTTAAAGAGTCATCTTTTGTAAAATCTTTCTTCTTGCTCTGCCATAAAAAAGGTTCCAAAATGTTAATATAATTCACTTTTATTTTTTAAGAAATATTATGTATATTTAGTTGTAGATGGAGAGAATGCCTTTATTTTATTTATTTTTATGTGGTGCTGAGAATCAAACCCAGTGCCTCGCACATGCTAGACAAGTGCTCTATCTACCACGGAGCTACAACCTAACCCTTACTTTTAATTTTAAAGCTAGCATCTGTAAGATATTTTTTTCACTTCTCAATACAAGAACCAGTTTTGAAAACTCAGCAGTTTATTTTTTGTGACTTGTATGTATACAATGATCTAGTCTCTAAGAACTTTGAGATTTGTTCCTTTATTTCATTTAATAAACATTTGTTAACCTTCTACTCTATATGCTGTCCTGTGCTAGTTCTTGCAAGAAACAAAAAAACAAAAGGTGGAACAAGCAGTTTCATCAATGTAGTGAAGACTTGAGCTGGTAAAAGTGGTGGGTATAGAATGAACAGAAAAAAAGGGATGAATCTCATTGGTACAAGGAGCCATATTTTTATGAAGTGATTAAAGGGGGAAGCAAAGGAGATTGAAAAGTTAAGGATTGATTCTTGGGTCGTGCCTCAGTCTGGCTGGGCACAAAATCACGAGCCACTCAAACGGGAACAAACTTTATTTTTAAACTCCTGCCAATGCCCTGTATGCTCTCGGGAAAAATGCCAACCCACACAGGAGGCCTTTCCTGGACCCACTCCAGTAGCAGGCTGAGGTGGACAGCAGGGGTCTAATATCCATATGAATGCAGATCTTAACATAATCATATCATCTCAATGGCTTGCTGGCGTCACCTTTCAACCAAAAATGCCATGTATCCTACTACTTGGCTATGGCTCTTAGCAGAGTTGAAAAAACGAGAAGGCAGAAGACATCATTAACCAGAAACGGCAAAAGTTAAAAAATAGGAGTTGGTTTGGTAAGGAAAATGAGGTGTTCATTTTAAATGTATTGAATGTGACATGCTGGTAGGATGTTCAAATGTTCAGTTGGAAATGAAGAGACACAATTCAGAAATGCCTGTAGGTGATAGGCAATCTGGAAATAGGCTGATGGTATTGCCAAAGGAGTGACTGTTCAGAGAAGAGGCTAAAGTTAGACAACAAACATGCCCATTCCACTCCATTAGGACAAACCACAAAACTAAGGGAATATCTACATTTAAAAAGAAGGAGTGGTCATGAAAGAACCAGAAAGAAGGAGGAAGGGAGGAAGTTCAATATCATAGGCCCTATGGAAAAGAGAATTCAAAGGAGCAGACCATCTGTGCAAATTTTGACTAGGAAGTTTATTTTTTATCAGTGCATTATATTTATACACACTGTTGGGATTCATTTTGACATAATTATAAAAGCACAGACTATAATTCGTTCCAATTCAGTCCCCAGTTCTTTCCCATTTCGCTGCCTTTGTCCCTGCCCATTATTCCCTTTTGTCTACTCTACTAGTCTTCCATCTATTTATTTAGGATTTTTTAAAATTAATGCTTTATAGATAGACATAAAAGTGAACAACGCTGTGATATCATACATGTGCACAGGATAGTTTGGTCAATTTCATTCATCTACTGTTTCTTGATTTTCCCATCCATCTTCCCTTCCCCTTAATCTTCTTCCTCTACATACTGATCTCTTCTAATTTCATGGGATTCCTTCACACCCTTTCCCCTGCTTAATTTGGTCTAGCTCCCGCATACAAGAGGAAAACAACTCTTGACTTTCTGGTCTGGCTTATTTCATTTAACATGACATTCTTCAGTTCCATCCATTTACCAGCAAATGCCATAATTTCATTCTTCTTTATGGCTGTATAACTCCATTGTGTATGTATATATACCACATTTTATTTATCCATTCTTCTGTTGATAGTCATCTGCTCTTGTTCTATAACTTGACTATTGTGAAATGCACTGCTGTAAACTTTGATGTAGCTGCTATAGAATGCTGATTTTAGATCTTTTGGATAAATACTGGGGATTGGGATGCTGGGTTACATGCAGTTCTATGACTAGGAAGTTTAGAAATGTGATGAATGAGAAGATATCCTGGAGTTGGTGATCAGATTAGAAACCTTTGAAAGGGCAGTTTCAGAAAAGCAAGTCAAACTAGAAGGGATTAAAAAGTGAGGGGCACAAGCTTAAAAGCCTGTAACATCAGCCTAAGAAACACTTTGCTGTTAATGACAGTGCTGTTTCAGTGATAAAGGTCTTAATGAATTCTCTTGATGTTTTATGAACAAAATTATAGTTATTTGAGTAAATAAACCATGTCTTCTTCCGGAAATCTTTAAAATTCTTCTTATGTTACACATTATTTAAATGTGATACTGTAAATGAGGAGAAGAACAGATTCAAGTTTCTCTACTAATGCCTTGTAAAACTTTAGAGTTTAGAAAAAAAAGCCCTTGGTCTGTTAAAATATTCTAAATGTGCTCATTCACCTCTGCACTGATTTTTTAGATTCATTTATGTTCAGCCAGAAGAAAAACAGAATGACTCTGTGTGTGAGTGAGTGTGTGTGTGTTGGGAGAGAAGGTAGGAAGGAGAAGAGGAGAAGCAAGTGTTGGTAAAATGATTAAGGAATGAGAAGTTAATTTAATATTTAGGTTAATGGAGAGTCACACATATCTTACATGGATTGTAAATTTTCAGGAAATAAAAATGCATTGTAATTTTTAAAACTCTAGAACTCTAAGGTTTTTT